CGTCCGTGTCGCCCCCACCTGCCAGTAACACTCCCCCCTCTCTGCTCAGGATCACCTATGTGCAGTCCACAGGCGGGCACCAGCTGACCCTGGGCACCTCGGCCTCCCCCTCGCAGCCTGGCGCCGCCCCCGCCGCCACCTATGTGCAGGCCCCTGTGGGGCCGGCCCCCATGGCTCTGGGCTTCACGACCATCGGGCCCAGCGGGCCGGCCATTGTGCAACCGCTGCTCTCGGGTAAGGGGGGGCTGTGAATGGGGGGTGATGCACTCGATCCAGAGCCCTGCTCTCCCCAAGTGTTTGGCGGGGCTGGCGCTGGGGTGTCGGTACCAAGGAGGGGCAGATAGCTGGGTCAGGGACGTGGGGGGAGGACACGGGGGCGGGGACTGGGTTGGGTGACCTGCGTGGGGCTGGTGCCAGGCGGGGGGCTGGTTTGGGGACACTGGGCGGCACAGGGTCTGGCAGCGGATGGTGGCAGGGGGCTGGGTCAGGGCTGGCGCCGGGGGGCTGGTGCCAGACGGGGACAGAGTTGGAGGCGTGGGGCGGGGATGGTGCTGGATCGGGGCAGGGGGCTGGGGCAGGGGAGCCGGACGGTACTGGATGGGGGCAGGGGGCTGGGGCAGGGGAGCGGGTGGGGGGGACGGCGCTGGTTGGGGGCAGGGGAGCGGGAGGGGAGGGGAGGGGATGGCACCGGACGGGGTCAAGGGCGGGTCCGTCTCACCCTTGGCGTTTCTCTCCCCAGGGCAGAGCCCCCTGCTGGCCCCAGGGCAGGTGGGGGTTTCCCCGCTGCCCAGCCCCCAGCTGCCCCCCTCCTGCAGCGGCCCGGTGATCACGGCCATCTACCCCGGCCCCCCGAGCGCCGGCCCCGCCCCGTCACCCGCCCACGGTCTCGTCTACAGCGTGGCCAGCCCCGCCCCGGCCCCCATCCTGCCCAAGGGCAGCAGTGCCGGCAGCCAGGGCACACTGGGGCCTGGACCCATGGGTATGAATGGGGTGGGGCTGGGCGGGGGCGGGGCCCCACCCCCATGGCCACAGAATGGGGGCGGGGCTATGGAAGGGGCGGGGGCTGGGGGCAGAATTCTGGGGGGGGGCGGGGTAGGCTCCACCGTCACGGGTATGGAACTGGAGCCGAGCTTTTGGGTGGGGGTGGGGCTGCGGGGTGTGAGTGGGGGGTCCCTGTGGCCCCCCCGGTCCCCCATGACTCTCTCTTTCCCCCCACAGGCCCCCTCGCCTTTCCCCCAGCGCCCGCCCGGCCCCCCCGCCCCCCGCCGAAGCCCCCCCAGAAGGTGAAGGCCGCCATCGCCAGCATCCCCGTGGGCTCCTACGAGATGGCCCCGTCACCCAGCCCTGCCCGGCCTCCAGGGGGGCAGCAGACGGAGCCCGGGGGTCCTCCCCGTGTCCCCCGGGAGCTGGAGAGCCCCAGGGAGCCCCCGGAGCCGCCTGCCCCCTCCCCACCGCCCCAGCCCCCCCGGCCCGGGCCAGCTCCAGACCCGGAGAGCTGGGATGGGCGCCCCCCCTCGCCCGCGCCCTCCCAGCACCTGGCGCCCGAGGCTGAGAGCGGCGAGGGCTGGAGCCAGCGGGAGGCGGTGCCGGGGGCCGGCGAGGAACGAACACCCCGAGAGCCGGCAAGCGCCCCCGGAGCCACCCTGGGGGGCAAGGGGCCCGAGACGGTGAGTGACCCCCCCCATCATCCTCCCACCCTACCCCCACACCCCACCCCACCCACTGCTCCCTGGGGGTCAAGGGGCCCGAGAGGGTGAGTGACCCCTGTCCCCCATCCCCTCCTGTCCGCCATCACTCCCCAAATCCTTTCCTGCCCCTGGTGCTAACGCTTCTCTCCTCTGCAGACCCCCCGGGGGCCCGTCTCTCCCGACTGGAGGGTCCCGGGTCCTGAGAGCCGCCCTGAAGCCCCAGCCCCAGCCCCCCCTGCCGGCCCTTCGTCCTCTGCGCTCAGCCCCGCCCCCGCTGGCTCTGGGGAGGGGTCCAGGGGGGCAGGCCCCACCCCCGGTGCGCCCGAGGGCCCGGAGCGCAAGGAGGGGGCGGGCGGCAAGAAGGTGAAGGTCCGGCCTCCCCCGCTGAAGAAAACCTTCGACTCGGTGGACAAGTGAGTGACGGGGGGGTTGGGGGTCACGGCCGGGGCGCTGCTCAGGGCCCTCGCTCCTGGGTCAGGCTGGGGGGAGGGGGACCCCAGCGTCCGGGAGAGCCGGTGCATGACGCGCCCTGCCCCTCCCCCAGCAGGGTTCTGTCCGAGGTGGATTTCGAGGAGCGATTCGCGGAGCTGCCCGAGTTCAAGCCCGAGGAGGTTCTGCCCTCGCCCACGCTGCAGTCGCTGGCCACCTCGCCCCGCGCCATCCTGGGCAGCTACCGCAAGAAACGCAAGAACTCCACCGGTGCGCGGGGGCTGCGGTCGGGAGTGAGGGGCACCTGGGGGACAGGGGGCTGTGGGTCGGGAGTGAGGGGCACCGGGGGGCACGTGGCAAGCGGGGGCTGCGGGTCAGGAGTGAGGGGCACTGGGGGACGGGGCTGTGGGTCGGGAGTGAGGGGCACGTGGAGGACGGGACGGTAGTCGGAAGTGAGGAGCACCGGCACAGCTGGGGGGCTGCGGGTCGGGAGTGAGGGGCACGTGGAGGACGGGACGGTAGTCGGAAGTGAGGAGCACCGGCACAGCTGGGGGGCTGCGGGTCGGGA